AAACACATAAATTTTACACAATCTGCACGTAATATCGTAACATACCTCCACTCTGCCAATAAGTATATAAATGACCACGCAGAGTACATGCAACATCGGCTTTTATACAGTTGATCACATGACTAGATGAATAGATGTTACTAATTATTGAGCAGTGTTTTAGTTTCTTCTCTAACGCAATATAAATAAACATAAGAACAGCGTGGAAAATATAAAATAAAAATGATAACGTATATAATTTCTGCCGTGTCGGCAACAGTGGTGCATCTGAAATACGAAAAAAAATTAGTATTGATACTTGCGTATGATATATATATATAAGGTTTATACTTATAATTGAAATCCTTTACATCTTGTTGACATTTCTGAAAGTTTCAGAAAAAGGTTTGGCTCGCGCACCTTAGATAATGGTATGAAATTAATGCATGTGTCTAATTTACGATGGTCGTCAAGCTATTGCACTAAAAAATGAATTTAATAATACCGGGTATACATATATAACATGTCTTGATATTGTTAGCATTGTAATCTATGGACAACATGAGGCACATTGCATGCAGACGGTTCAACCTCCACGTACAATAATATTCTTTTTAGTTAGCATTAAACTTAGTGCATTGAGAAACCGTGTGTGTGCGCGTGTGCGCTAGTGTGTTGAAATATCTAATGAGTACTTACCTGAAAAAATCCCGACTGCTTGTCCATCTACAGCAGAAAACAGCTTACGTTTCACGCCATTCATCTAAAAGAAACATTAAAAAGTATTAAATAACTGCGAACTACATACGTCTTTACAAGTAAATGGGGAACACATTTTTGTATCAAAACTCAGTATTAAAGACCACTATAATCTTCATTCGTCATATTCATTGCGATCATGCTACCCACATTAATTCTCATTCAGTTGTCTAGGGTCAATTTTTTTTTTTTCAAAACGATAGTAAGTTCACGGTGCTAAAAGATTTCAAATAAATTTTAATGTAACTCAACGTTCAGCTGTGTGTATTGATTTTTCTGCATGCATTCTGATATATGACATAGCAAAGACGTGTTATAAACATTTGACTAAACTAACGCGCTTCTAGTGTTTATTACAAAGATAATTGTAGGGGCCTACATATAATGATACTTGATATATTTTCTTCTACGCCTAATAAAAGTTTGAACTTACAACTGTACCTTGCATATCCTGCGTCTTCACTTTACGGTGTCCAACTGTCAAGTGACCAGTCTAGAAAATAACTCATGCTGCGATGAGTGACTTATTGTTATGTAAATATCAACAGGTAGGGTTCAATATAGGTGAGGGGTCGTGGCTCAAACCATTCTCACGAGAAAAAGCAAATGTAGATAATCTGATTGCTTCTTAGAAAAAATAACTGTACTCCCTTAGGGCCCCTTTACACTGGACGGCGTCCTTTCTGCGTCCAGCAGTACGGCCCCATTTGAGAGTTAAAAAATTATAATACTTTACGTGCCGACAACTGGCCGATCATTGAGCATCCATTCTGATACAAAATTAATGCTCGTGCATCCTTATTAAGACCACAGCGATGCCAAATTTCATGGTCGCAGAGAGGACGCAGAAAGGACGCCGTCCAGTGTAAAGGGGGTATTAGATGTTTGATGTATTCAGACGTTCTTACACTATAGATATTACACATTAGATATTGAACCCATTCTTCTATAACTGTAGTCTAACACTTGATTAAACCTACACGTTTGCTTTGCAAACGTTTCAAATGTCTGGGGTAAGTAAGTAAAAAAGTAAAAGCCGACCATCGCCCCCTTGGTGTGGGGTTCGGGGCCTGCTCAAGGGCCCCGAAAAATTTTAGGTATTTTAGAGAGAAAAGAGCGTCCTTTGGTACGGGATATAGCTGTGAGCTAGCTAGTCAAAATTCTAATTTCAAGAGGGGAATATTGGTGTGATATATTTTTACCCCCCTGACCCCCCCTCCCCCATCCTCCGTTTAAACCCGCCACTGATGAAGTACAGAATTACAACAGGCTTTCAATTTGCATTCTATGTGTAAGAAAATGACAATGAAGCCATATTGGTTTCTTGCTCAAAATTCTAATTAAAGCGGTACTTAAAAACCTTTGACCTAAGAAGACGTCTTGGTCTGAAGTGACATACGGCGGCCATCTTGTGGCCTGATGTGACATGTCTCTAGGCTCTAGTCAGCGTTCAATTTTAATGGCAGTGGCGTTAGGCCGTTTAGTTAGGTTCAGTCGCAAGTTTTAATTTGTGCATTTCGGAAATGATAAATCCCGAATAGTCTTTCATACGTATGTTGTTAGTGCATATTGACCTCATCTTAATAACGTGTATTAAATTGATCTCAAAGACAGAAAGAAGTCGACAAGCAACAACTGACAAACTGGACGCCATCCTGTCGTGAAGCGCCATGGAAGGCTTAATGACGCTGGATCTTGTTCTTCCCAGACGACTCACCAAACTCTGCGTCGCTACTAAGCAGGAGCACCAGTTTCGGTGGCACAGTAAGAAAAGTAAGTCGGTATCGACATTTTAAACAGAGATCTAGAACTTGGAGAACATGTTCATATCACTCGGTCATAAATTTGGTAGATTAAAGAACGTTGTTGCAGAGGAATCTGCCGAATATGTACATGTATTATAGATATCAATGCTGTTCATAATACCACAATGGAGTAATGTTATATAGTATATTAATATGTAATATTTAGTCTAATAAAAACTGTCAGTGCAAATAAAACATTAAGCACAGTCCTCTTGATGTATTTCTATATACACTTTCTATAACCAAAGCTTTGGCATTGAGGCAGTGTTTTCATTTTAACCTACCTCTCTGATTTTACACAGGCACGCATGCACATACACACGCACACGCACGTACACACACACACACACACACTCTTGCTCCCTTTGTATAATTGCACCCCTTCAATTTACCAGCAAAATTTTCTAAAGGTACACCCATTTCTGCTCATTTATAATGTTGATTTTAAATCCAGTAACATTCATATTCTAGGCAGTGGTAACTTACACATAGTGGGTCGAGACAAAGATACAGTACGTCTAGAGTTCACAGGTAAGTTGTTCATGAACAGGTACAGTACATCTCGAGTTCACAGGTAAGTTCTTCATGAACAGGTACAGTATCTCTAGAGTTCACAGGTAAGTTGTTTATGAACAGGTACAGTACACAGCGCAATACCCTTTAGAAAATGACACTATCTGCTTGCAAGTAAACTCAGGAAAAGTTTAATGTCAATAATATCAGGTGATATAAAAGAGGATTAGGCCATAAATATCATTGATCCAACTTTATTAATTGGTATGATTTGTTTACTAGTACCGTTGCCCCCCCCCTCCCCCCCATATTGTCAAGAAGAGCCATTCCTTATATCTTCTTGAGTGGGGAATATGGTAGACAGCCTGACTGATTTGTCAACTTGGATCAACAGTATTATTTACCTAGTATTAAAGTTCTCTATTTATATCATCCTGTTATTTCTTGTGAATGACTGTTACCTGTGTTTACTTTTGTCTAGAGTCATATTGCGCTGTATTGCAGTGTACTGTGCATTTAAGGTAGACCCCATCTTTTCATTGATGAAAGGCCCACCTGTTCTTCCCCTGACTGAAAGTTCTCTGTACATATAAGGTTCTTAGTTTCAGTAAAACAATTCCAAGTTAGAAGTGATATATCTTAGAAATATTGATACAGTGTATGTCATTTACTTATCACATTATGATTTGTTTGCTTTGTAGAAAGTTGTAAGAGTGAAAATTTTGGTAGAGAATACTGTCAATATTGTTGTTCACAATAGTTGTTATAATTGCCATAATAATATGTTGACCAGTCATTTTCTGTAATGTTCCATGGCAGATATATTTTCATACAATTTGAACTTTTTTTTTCAGGTTACAACTTCCTTGAGGTGAAAGAAAACATCATTAGTTGTGTTATAGACAGCATAACAAAGAAAAGAAATGAAACAGATCAAGAACATCAGGAAAAAGTGAAGCCAAAAAAGAACAATCAACCAGCCAGTGATGAAGTGAATATTAGGACAGAGACAACAGAAGGTGCAGTACAGGAGAACATGGTGGATACTAAGACAAGTGTCACAGTCACAACCAGTGGGATACCTAGTGTAGACACAGTAACCCCTACATGGAGGAGATCTTCTAGACGTGTCAAACCAAACGTCAAAGAAGAATTCCTGTATGATAGTTTGAAAGACCTTAAAGCAAACAAGAAACTGGTCATATCAGATGAGCCTGACACAACAGAGAGCCTGGAGCTTGAAGATGAAGCTGTGAGCAAAGATTTCCCAGTTGATATCTCATCAAAGAAAGTTCCTTGTAAAGTGTGCAAGGTCTCTGTGAGTAACTTACGCATGCACATGTTGAGCAGACATATCACTCTGTGTCCACACTGTAAGAGAGAAATCAAAAAGAAAGACTTAAAGGATCATCTAAAGACCAGCCACCCAGGCCTGGTGCTTACTGAGCTGTGTCCAGTGTGTATGAAACCTTTTAAGAGCCTCAAGAAACACATCACTGCCAAACATAGTGGAAGACTTCATCACGATCACGTTTGCAAACAGTGTGGCTATGCTACGTATGACAGACATGCACTGAGAAACCATATCCTGCACGTCCACCACAACGTGCGCATGTTTAGCTGCAGCTCTTGCAGCCAGACATTTAAAACAAAGCAGGTCCTGAAGCAGCACACACGGATTGTGCATGAAGGAGTCAGAGATTTCCAGTGTCATGTTTGTATGAAAAAATTCACCAAGAAATACCATCTCGATGTCCATACCAGAACACACATGGGTAAGGTTGACTTGGAGACACCCCCCACCCTCTGCTTGAAAATTCACCCCAAGACAAACCTGCCTGCCTCCTCCCATCCCACCCTCCTTGCTCCTCCCTGCCTCCTCCCACC